GTTTGGGATATATTTATCCCTTTTCCCTTTAAAAACTAACTAAAATTTTCCTTATTTGAAAAATATCTAAAATCCTAACATTTTAAACTTTAAAATTACTATTCTTGTATAAATCTTAAATAAATCATGGTACAAAAGAATAGTTAAGAAATATGTTCACATTTTTTAAATTAACTTTCTAAAGCTTCTTATATGAAAATGTTATCATTTAAACAAATTTAACATTTATTTTAACGCCAATTACTAATTTATTAATAATTTTGTTTTTCTAGTATATAATTTTCTTAATTAATGTTAGACGCAGTATAAAGTACATACACTAAACTAGTATATGGAATTATGTGTATTAGGGCTACCGTAATTGCTCAACAAATTCAATTGAGACATAAGAAATTGCAGCCTACGGTTTGTATAATTGAGAGAAGGGGGAAATGGCATTCATCGGATAATTAATACCAGTTACTAATAAGAAAAATGGCACTAGTACTGCTAAATGATATTCATAACAAAATACAAAATTAGCATTGACAAATTCTCCAAATACATGGAGGAACCATGCAAATTATACCCGCACTGAGTGTTTACATCCAACTAAGAAGGCAAGGCACGTGCCTATTACTGTGCAGAGAGACTCACAGCTACTAATAAACTGTAAAACAAGTTAAGATATATTTTTTACGCTATGCTTAAAATCAACTTTCAGCTCAACCTCCACCACAAGACAATCATTGACAATATAACCTTTATTCTGATCATGCAACTGAGTTAAAGGCATAAAACCTGGAAACCCCAAACTCGGTGTGGTAGTTGAAAACCAACTACAATCTGTAAAAAGTATACTTAAAAGATTGAAACTATTAGACATCCAAAAAGAAATATAATATTATGAAAAAGAGAAGTAGCTATTGAATCACAGTGATATTCATCTTGCAAGAATTCCATATAAAAAATTAATAATGAGCAAATAGAAAAAAAAAAAACATTTGGCTTACAAGATAGCTTTTTGCATCCACCATTTATCTGATCTTTAAGGCTTATGCTACAATTTGCCTTGACTTTTTGATGGTGATCAAAGTCCTTAGCATCAACAGATTTTAGAAATATTGAGATATCACATCCCTCACTGTTTCCATTGCCCTTTGGAAACAACCAGAGCTTCCTACAAAAGAAATTATGCACCACAATGCACGTACTATCCTACTTAATAATGTGTCTAATTTTATAATATATCCACTTTCTGGCACACCATACCTACTTATCTACTTTATGACACACCTACTTATCTACTTTATGACACATCATACCTACTTATCTACTTTATGACATACCATAACTACTTTACATCTTTTAACTATTCCTACTATTCCTACTTTACACCATACCATAACAACCTATACAACATACAATTATGTCACAATGAGATGAAGCAAGTACCATTTATAATCATCCACATTAAATTCTTCAGAAAACCACTCTTCGCCAAGATTGGAGAAACTACAGATCTTCCATTCACGCTTAAATGAGTCAGTAGATTTCACCATAGACAAACATTCACCAATTCCTTGCCCTTGGACAACGAATATCTCTGCTCCAACCACACATTTGTCATCAACAAAGTATCCATTAGAGGTCTCTTTGAATGTGTTGTGAGAAATAAATTTGGCAAGTCCCCAAAAAGACTTGATAGATTGAAAGCGCCGCATTTTTCCTAAATCATCAAGGCATTGTTGCATCATAGTTTAGCCGATAATTGAAAAATAAATAAAAAGTTACTCTGGTGATCAGATATCATATATGCTATTTCTTCAAGATAACCAAAAAGCCTAGATGAGATACATTAGAGGGAAATGTATATGCTAAGAAAGGAAATAATATGTATAACAAATTGATATTGTACCTCGTGCTGAAAGATAATTGTCACGGAGCTGATTGAACACAAAGAAGGTAAATATAGCATTGACCGCGCGCCCAACCAGAAGGCAGGGAATTTGTTCCACAAATAGCCAAGTAAACTGAAATATGTCCACTTCCATTTTCATGTGTGTTCCCATCTGGATAAACGATCATTTTCCTGTATCAAGTGTGAAAAATGATAAAGTTGATTTTTGGAATATCATAGATTTTTCTAGTATAGTTTCTAGAATGGTCTAGTGTCGTACCTAGAATAATTATCTTGAAGATATATCTAGATATTCTAGAGAAAGTGCTAGAAGATAAGTTCACTAGAACTTTCTTGTAGATATTCTAGAAAGATATTTTTGTAATAAATGATAGGATAGTCTAGAGCTTGTAACATCTAGAACCATCCCTACATAAGTATAAATAGGAGTGGCCATTGTCATTTGTATACAACCCAAGAAAACCCAAGAACAACCCAAATAAAAGAGTTTCTTCCATAAACAAGTTCTCCTTTCTATATTCCTCTTCCTTAGTTGAATCTTTCGATCTTAGTTAACGATCATGGGCTAGCAGAAGGATTCTCCTATTATACTTTTCTTCTGCTATTCTCTACATCAAGTCCATAAATCCATTATAATTCATATCATTTAGGACAAACTTCTGTTAAAGTGATCAGCTTGGTACTTCATAAAATGTCCAATAGAAAAATAATGCATTGACATACGAGTCTTACCATCTATGACCACACGCCTCAAATTCATTTGATTCGAACTTGTCAATGCCACTCTCTGAAAGTAGGGAGAAAGACTCAATTTTCAACAAATAGTGTGCTGGTGAAGCATCTCTAACTTCCATTGCCATTTCTATCCCTATGTGCACATCAAACAAAAAGGGTAAACTATCTTGTAATTGTTCTTTTAATAACAACAGTAGACAAAATATACTTCAACAAATAAAGTGTTCTCTAACCGCTAAATTTTTTAGATAAAATAAACACAACTCTACACAATATCAAAACAGACAAAAGGTTCCAAATTAAAATTTGAAATTTAATTTTGACCCATAAAAAAGAGGATATTGTGTACACCGCTTAAAGCTTAAAGAAGTCGGTTACAAAATAAGACAAATCAAGTAATGTTAAGCGTGCCATTTCACAATTACAAACAAGAAACAATAAATATGCTCTATCTATGTATTATGCAGATTTTGTATGAATTTTTAAAAGGATCAGCTAACATGGACTTCACAAACACACATTTCATATGTAATTAATTTCATTCATACTTATTAAGAGGCAAATAGAATATGCATGCAGAGACTAAATTAAACCTTCATCTTCAGGAGCAATTGATCCCATGTGACTTCCCAATGCTTGTGCTCTTCTTTTGTATTGATACACTCCCTGGTCTGTGCAATTTGGAGTTCTAATAAAAGGATTTGAAATTTTCTTGCTTTTGGAATCTAGAGAGTCATGCGTCCTTTTAGCTTTTCAATGCAGCTTCGGAATTAAAATCAATGGTTGAGAATCACCTTATTATTTTCTCTTTTCTAATTTATTCCCTCCATATTAGAGTCCATCCCCTATTTGAATTCAAATATTGTACATTTTACATTCAATTGTAGTAGCTTATTCTTTGTAACAAAGGATTACTTTTCCTTTAGAATAGGTATTAGATTAGGACTCTTATACTTATCGTCAAGTAATGATATGGCAGAACAACCATGTGCTCTTATTTTCTCATTCTCAAAAGCTTCTTATTCTTATTCTTTATACTCCATTTCAAATTAATTGAATTGTTGAGACATTTTTTTATTTTTCAAATTAACTTAATTGTTCAATCTTTAAGACTACTTTTAAAATATTCTTACAATTTTACCCTTCATTAGTTAGTATTGAAATTAGTTATTATAATTAATGTTAAGTTATTTTAATCATAAATTTGACAATAATTAATAAGGGTAAAAATGGAAAGTTATGTCTAATTTATGTCTTAATCTTCTTTTCTTAAAGGGTGTGAAAAGAAGTAAAAATAATAATTGAAATTTGTGTGTGTAAATCATTTCGTTAAGGATAAAATAAACATTTTAAAATTAAATTATTACTAATTATAAAAAAAAGTCTTCATCATTGATTTCCTTGCATTGCCGTGGACGAAGCACCACTAGCATACTCTTTATTAAAATGTACATAACTTCTTGTATAGAGCTCAAATTGACAAACGATTCGATGTGTTGGGAACTAGACTCAAAAAACTTTAATTGGATATATAATTCACCACACAACACTTACTAATCCTATGATTGTTTGAAGTTGCAACTTAGACGGGCTCAATTTAAAATTTTGGTTAGTAGCTTCCAATTCAACTTTGTGCTAGAGCTCTTTTTAAAACCTTAAATAGTTAATATGACTGTATCCCCTTGGTTCAGGTCGAGTTACTCATAAAATGCATCATTTGGGGTTCAAATACATTTCTACACCACACAGGCTATGTTTTTTTATTTATTTAAACTATTTATAAAAACTGGAGGTTGGCTTTTTAAGAAAGAAAATATTTGCAAAAATTGTTTTTTGCAAAAAGAAATAATAATATTAATCTAAAACCGACCTCCAAAGGCCAGGTTTTGCTGCATTTTTTCAAATTTTTACGCTAAAGATACCTACCTCTGAGGTCGATTTTTCTATTAAAAAAAACTAAAAAATATTTTTTTTTTAAATGGACCTCATGAGATTGATTTTTTACCGACGTCTTTTAGTAGTGTATTAGTCTCCTCATAAATTTGCGTGAAATAAAAGCATTTTTTTGTCCAATTATAAACCAATGATATATTTGATTAACTTCACACAATTTAAACACATCCTTAGTTTTTTTTCCAAATATAAATGTTAGCTTAAGATTAGATGATATCACAACTGCAAATTCACTCGTCAGTTGGTACAGCTTAAGCATCAAAGCAATTAGATTGAGTTGACATTTCAACAGCAGGATATGCTATATATGATCTAATAAAAGCTTCAACTCATAGCCTTATAAGACTGAAGTGTTTCATCACAATTAAATAATCAGCTGAAATAGTCATTCATCCAATCGCAGAAATAGATACTAATTGGATACAAAATGGGCATTGACAACTTCTCCAATAACATTGAGCCGCGCTGAGTGTTCACCTCTAACTAATGAATGCAAGACAGCCAAACCTATTAATAACAGTAAATCAAGTTAAGATAAGCTCTTTACGCTATGCTTAAACTCTACTTTTAGCTCAACCTCCACCATGATACAGTCATTGACAAAATAGCCTTTTTTCTGATCACACAACTGAGTTAAAGGCATAAAACCTGGAAAACCCCAACTCTGTGTGGTAGTTGAAAACCAAATACAATCTGTAAAAAGTATAATTAAAAAATATATATTAGAAATTATTAGACATGCAAAAAGGAGTTTAATATTATGAAAAAGAGAACTAGCGATTGAATCGTAGTGATATTCATCTCGCAAGAATTCCATATAAAAATTTGCTACTGATACAAATTGAAAAAAGTAAATATGTGCCTTACAAGATAGCTTTTTGCATCCACCATTTGTCTGATCTTTGAGGTTTATGCTGCCATTTACCTTCACTTTTTCATGGTGATCAAAGTCCTTAGCATCAACAGATTTTAGAAATATTGAAATATCACATCCCTTATTGTTTGCATTGCCTTTTGGATACAACGAGAGCTTCCTACACAAGAAATTAACACAAGGATTCAGAAGCAAATAGATTCAAAATGATTGGTGGTACACAATATACAATTACTATGTCCCAAGGAGATGAAGGAATTAAGTACCATTTGTAACCTCCCACAGTAAATTCTTCAGAAACCCAATTTTCACCAAGCTTGGAGAAATTACAGATCTTCCATTCTCGCTTAAATGAGTCAGTAGATTTCACCATAGACAAACATTCACCAATTGCTTGCCTTTGGACGATGAATATCTCTGCTCCAAGCACGCATTTGTCGTCAACAAGGTATCCGTTAGAGGCCTCTTTGAATGTGTTGTGAGAAATAAATTTTGCAAGTCCCCATATAGACTTGATAGGTTGAAAGTGCCGCATTTTTCCTAAACCAAAGCATTGTTGCATCACAGTTTAGCTTATAATTGGAAAAATAAAATTGAAAGTCACTCTGTTGATCAATGCTATTTCACGATAACCATATAACCAAAAAACTTAGATGAGATAGACTAAAGGGAAATGTATATGCTAAGAAGGAACATAATATTATATCTCGCACTGAAAGATAATTGTCACGAAGTTGATTGAACAGAAAGAAGGTACATATAGCATTGACTTCCCAATTAGCAGGCAGGGAAGTTGTCCCTGAAATGGCCAAGTAAACTGAAATATGTCCACTTCCATTTTCATGTGTGTTCCCATCGGGATAAATGATCATTTTCCTGTATCAAATCCATAAATCCATTTATATCTGCTAAACAACATTTACCCCTTCTCTTATCAAAGACTAGAAATACCTTATGGCTCCCAAATACATACAAATCTCAAGAAATAGTCAATAGGACAATATCAAACCTTAAAAACTCATTCAATAATGCATTAGTGAAGATTGACATACGAGTCTTACCATTTATAACCACCAGCCTCAAATTCATTTGATTCAAACTTGTCAATGCCACTCTCTGAAAGTAGAGAAAAAGACTCAATTTTCAACAAATAGTGTCCTGGCGAAGCATCTCTAACTTCCACGGTCACTTCTGTCCATATTGCACAACAAACAAAAAGGATAAGCTTTTTCGCAATTATTCAATTCCATCTAATAACCACAGTAGACAAAAAATACTTCAATTGATTAAGTGTTTTCTCTAAAGGCTAAAACTTTAAGATAAAATGGCACTATTCAGCTTTATATCAAACCGTTCCGAGTGTAAATCTCACCACCACCCAAAATTTGACGCACGAAAAAGGATATGGCGTACGTTACAAAATCCAACAAAATAAGACCAGACAAGTAATGTTAGAGTGCCATTTCACAATTATAAACAAGAAAATCATAAATATACTGACATTTAAGCAAAGAAAACCACAAAACCCTACACTAACAATAAACATAGACTTCACAAATGCACTTTTCATATTTGTTACGAGGCAAATAGAATATTTAAAAAATAAATAAATTGGGGAATCGAACCCTCACCAATAAGGTGATAGAGTTCAGATAGTTAACCAATTGAACTGTTAAATTTTCGAAAGGCAACTAGAATATAATATGCATGTAGACACTAAATAAAACCTTCATCTTCTGTAGCAATCGATCTCATGTTAGTAATAGCGTTATGCAAAATCTGAGTAGCTAGCTGGTTCCCAATGCTTGTGCTCTTTTGTTTTGATACCCTCTGCACAGTTGGAGTTCTAATTAAACGATTTGAATTTGCCGTGCTTTCGGAATCCGGAGAGTGATGCGTCCTTTTAGCTTTTTCAAAGGAAGTTTTCGAATTAAAAAATCATTCCATATCAAAAACAATATCTACTTCCCTTTTTAATCGATTTATTCTTTTACTTTTTTAGTAACACTAATTGACTTTTATAGTGGTCATTTACTACCTCGATTCTCTTTCTAATTATCTACTCTCTCCGTTTCATTTTATATGTCATTTTTTTACTTTGCACTTACATTAAAATGATCTAACTTTACCCTTCTATCCTTATTTAATTTTTTTGGAACTCAAGTTTTCAATCAATGAATATGAATTAATTTATTTTGATTAATTAATTTAACCAATGAACATGAATCATTTACTTAGTTTTTCTAAGTTGGTCAAATGTATATTTTCAAGGTCAATAACTCACAAGAGTAAAAAACGAAGAATATGGTAATTTATGCATTGATTTTATGAAATGACAAGTATTATGGACCAACTATTTATAAAAATGGGTGACATATAAAATGGGACGTAGAAGAAAACTTTCTTTCTCTTTATGGATAACCAATTCATTTTCAAATATAGTTGGGAGACTTTACCCAAGAAAGGGAGTAATATATTGAAAAATTAAATGTTTGACAAAATTTTAAAACTAAATGGAAGTAGAAACAATTTTCTGATGCTGGAGTAGAAGCGATAGCAGAAAATTATTTTGTTTAATGATTAAAATATTCTTTCTATATATACATATTTATCAATATATCCATTATTAGTTAATTAGTATATCACTTAAATTTGATTAAGTTTCATTCAAGAATTGTATTTTTTATTTTTGTATAATAAATTTTTATTTTATTTTATGTTTATATATTATTATTTACATTTTACATATTATTTTACGTTTTATTTTACAGAATTAGAAATAAAGGTAACAACAATATTTTTGTAGGATTAAAAATATGAAGGACTTTATTTATTTATGTGGTGAATATTTCGTATATAGTGGTCTAATTTGTGGAATGGTTCTTAAATTTATGAATATGTGCATTTTAATTAAAAAAAATTGTAATAGATATTTAAAATAGTTTCTCTCTATAAGATAATACTAATATAAAAGACATTGACACTTATCATTTTTCGTAATTTGACTCTCAAAATGAATTTTTAAAAATTATTAGTCAAACACAATTTGCTTATCAAAAGCATTTTTCAAATGAATTACCCAAACACAAATTATTATTATTTTCAAATGATTTTTAAAAAAAGCCATTTTAAAAAAATGCTTCTAGAAATAAGTAGTTTTTAACAATAATGTCAAATATGTTCTTATTGTCATTATACACCATTTAATATAAATATTTTATGATAAAATATGAAATTTATTTATTACTCTTAAGCAGAATGCAAAGTCTATTATAAACAAATGAAAATGATCAAATGGAGTAAGAGTATGTTTGGCAATGTTGTTAGAAGACTAAAAACATTGATTTTGAGAAAAAAAAATTATTTGAAAAATTAAGGTGTTTGACTAATCAGTAAAATTATTTTTAAATGAAGCTGAAACAGTTCTGATGTTGGGAAGAAGCTAAAATTTCCTGCTTCTTAAAAAAAAGTAAAACCAGAAATTTGTTTTTTTCAGACCAAAATAACCCTTCCATATATACATATTTATCAATATATTCCTTATTAATTAATTATAGGCTTTGCACAAATCTCATAGTGTTAAGAGCTAATTATATCCTATATTTACTTTTTTTTTAGATTATAAAATCCCTTAAATCTGGACATCCCAAAAAGTTCTAATACATTGCGTCCCAATTTCAGATACATCCCTCGACGTCTTGATACATCACGTCTCAATTTCGGACACATCACTCAACATCTCGATACATCATGTACGTCTCTATACATCACGTAGGTCCCGATACATCGTAAAGTGATGTATCCGACTGATACATCATAAAGTGATGTATCCGATCGATACATCACATAAAGTGATCTATCCGACTGATACATCAAGTAAAGTAGAGATTTTTGTAAATTTTTTCAAGTGGTTGGAAATTTTAGAGAGTATAGTAAAATAAGTTGTGTATTTATGTAATTTTTTCTTAAATAGATCCTATATTGAAACTTTGATATAATGATAAGTAAAAATGATGTTTAGCCATTGTTGAAGCTCGAGTTTCAAAGTGTGAACATCTAATTTTCGCAAATAAGCTCTGTTTCGAGTGTGTATTGTTTCAACATATTGATTGCGTATTGAGGAGTCTAAATTTAAAATTTTGGATGATTTAACGACAATTTTAGATGAATCTGGTGCTTGGATTCAAGAAAGAAGACGACGTCTTGTACATTGTTGTATACAAATGTATAATGTTGTATATTAATTTTTTAAAACACTAGTAAATAAAAAAGATTACCTGAAATGTGATTTGTGCAAACTGTTATAATGAAAAAACGTCCTTTTTATCGAGATTCGAGAATGAACTATTATATTTTGGACTAAATGAACTATATTTTTGTATACAAAAGCACACACTCAATTTTATTTAACTATGAAGTATCATGGAAATTTACAAAATACAATTTTTTAAAAGTACAATTAATTAATTTACAAAGATTTTAGAACAGTAAAATAAAAATTTAATGACAAAATTACCCCTACTAATCACCAAATCTTGTGAAAACTTTAACGGTGGTGATCGCAAAGCTTTCGGGAGGACAAAATTATTAGTACTATTTTTTTTTAATTTTCTTAAACCCCAATACGAAGCAGAAAGAAACAAAGAAAAAGAAATTCGCGTGAAGCATTAGCTCAAAGACCTTTTTTTCTTTTTGGTCTTTCCCTCCAATGTCTCACTACTCTCTCACATAGTACGGAGTGAGAGCAGTAGAGAAACAGAAGATTCCAGAAGCATTTACTGAATCGCTTCTTCTTCTTCACCAGCGGAAACCCTAACACAGTAAGCCATTCGTTTTCGTTCATCAAGGTGAGATTTATCTATCTCTGGTTTCTCCGTTTTCGCTAACTTCGTCTCCATTCACTTGATTGTGATGTGCATTGCTGTTTTGTTAGTCTTACATTGTGTACTGTTTCGATTTTCTTAATTTTTTTGATTTTTGACCATTTTTGTAAATTGTATGTATTGATTGCTTAATTTTGCCTATTTTAGTCCACATGCATTTTAGTTTCTCCTTTTCCAGTTTTGGAATAGATCGTCTTTGCCTCAGTGTCAAATGCATTTCTTTTGGCATTTATCATATTTGATTTATTCGAGCAACAAGTACCAGCTAACTCTGTGAAGATGAGAAGAAATCACCTAGTGTTTTTGTCTCTGTTGAGAATTAAACCTGAGACATGACCAATGGTGCTCAAGCCACTTCATTTACCACTACGCCACATATTTGGTGCTCAATGTTCAAATTTTCTAATGTGCTTTCTAAAAAATAAATATTATACATACTCAATCTGTTCCATTATATAGGGTTATGTTTTTTCGATTGGACACAGTTTGATATACTCCGTCTGTCCATCTTTTACTAGTTGTCTACTTTTACTTGTCCAGTTTGAAAAAAAAAAAACAAGAGATAATTTACCATTTTATACCTATTTTACCTTAAATATTAAGTACTAATTATTTTCTATTCATTTCCCAATGAGTGAGATGACTTATAATAATTAGGGATGATATAGTAACATTTTCATTTAGTATATTGCTCTTTAAGGGTGTGCCCTGTCTGTAAGTTGCTCAGACTCTTCACTTTTGGTGCCGCACCCGTGTCGACACAACATGGGTGTGGGTGTAGGATCCGTGTCTGATTTGGTCAACCGATTTTGGGTACTTTGACCAAAAGCTAAATGAATTTGAAGAGTGTATTTTTTCTTTTGGCTGTTGGCTTCAGCTTTACCATATACTGACACTGTGTCATTGTTATCTATATGCTTTCAAGGTTCAACTCCTAAGTTCTAATCATAAGTTGGTATGCACTATACACTCTACAATGTCCCGTAGGTCCATTATTCCTTGACACTTATACTACTTGGTCATACACTGTAGTCTGAGCATAGTTGATTTGTGATTTTTTCTTTGTTCTCTTTAGAGCATTAAAATATTATTATTATTAGTTTAGAGTTTGACAGACATTTTAAATTTCAACCAGTCTCTCCACTACTTTATGTTCTTTGTAATATCCGGATAGTATTGATATTTTCAGGTTGGAAAGTAGTAAGTTGTCAATTGCTCAATTCCTTGGTGAAGCTGTTCCAATGCTCATCTCCCCATATGTGCTAAGCATCTTCATGAATTTGGAAGTTATGTGCTTGATTCTAGTGCTCAGTTTAGAAAGCCTTGATGTTTCTGCTTATTTCTTTTCCAGTTTTTCTTTATATGTATCCAATTTTGCTTGTAATATGATCTTTAGACTAATTTTCTTTTACACTGTACAAACTGTTTGACCATAAATTACTTTTCATACAGTACTGCTCTTCATAAATATTAAATTTTAACTTGATTTGAATAGAGTGGAATGTGTACATGGATTGATATAATAGCCTACCACAAGGGAATTGAGGTTTAGTTGTTTGATTGATATATTTTTCTACAACTTTATCCTCGTAGGACAAGAAACTGAAACATGCTTAAAATTTTTGGTAGCTGTGTTCGCATGATGTATCATATGGGGTATAGAAAGGACTCTGATTTCAGTAGCCTTCATCTTTTGATGTTTATTTGGCTAACAACTTCTCCTAGGTCACTGTTCCGTTTGAAACATGGAAATTAGTGAGGGAAGAGAGAGTTGTTGCACACCTGTGGAAGAACCGCCACCAGTCATAATGTCAAATGCAGAGCCGGAGGGAGTTGATCAGCCCAAGCGTACTATAATGATGAGGCCTGGGGATGGAACATCTGGACGAGAGATTTCTTTGCTCGCAAACCACCTAAAAGTTTCTATCAAGTGTCCTGATGAAATATTTTACCATTATAGTGTATGATTGCCAATTATTTAGTCCTTCTTCAGTCATCTGGATTCCCATGGCACTCAATCAAATTTTCTGTGTTGCGCTATTACAGGTCTCTATAACTTCTGATGAAAAGAGGGCCGTTAACAGCAAGGTGATTAGAAGAAAAATTATAGATAGACTTCACGAAACATACTCGTCTGAATTTGCTGGGAAGAAATTTGCTTATGATGGAGAGAAGAATTTGTACACTGTGGGACCTCTACCACACAACAGACTGGAATTCACAGTGGTTGTTGAGGAGTCTAGTGCACGGCAGTATGTCCTTGAAAAATTCTTTGACTGTGTAGTTGCAGTTACTTCAAGGCTTCTATAATATACATTAAGCTTATTTTATACTTTGGTTGCAGTGCTAGTGAGAGCCCCTCAGATAATGGAAGCCTCAATCACTACAGTAAAAGGTCTAAGCATTCTCTACATTCGAAGGCTTTCCTGGTGGAGATTGACTATGCAGCTAAAATACCATTAAGGTCTGTTGATCTTGCCCTTCAAGGAGCTGATCCAGAAAATGTTCAAGATGCATTGAGGGTTCTAGACATTATATTGCGACAACAAGCTGCTAATAGGTAATTACCCTGTTATTCTGGTGACCATCAATCTTTTCCTGAGCCAAAACTTATACAGATATTCATGTTGGTCACAGAGGATGCCTCTTGGTTAGACAGTCATTTTTTCATGATGACTCAAGGAACTTCACAGATGTTGGAGGGGGTGTAATGAGTTGCAGGGGATTTCATTCCAGCTTTCGTCCAACTGATGGTGGCTTGACCTTGAACATGGGTATAACAATGGAAACTCTCCAGTGTAGCTCTCCTATGATTTTTCTCAATCTTAATGTTGCTTAATTCTTGGTTTGTAGATGTGTCTACAACTATGATCCTATCACCTGGACCTGTAATTGATTTTTTGCTTGCTAACCAGAATGTAAAGGAGCCTCGTTATATTGATTGGGCAAGAGTGAGTAATATCTAACTGCATGCTAAAACTCTTCTTTCTTTCAGCTCTCCACACTTCATTAACTTGTAATTTTATACAGGCAAAAAGAATGTTGAAGAATCTGAGAGTTAAAGCTAAGCACAACAACAGAGAATTTAAAATTATCGGTTTGACTGACAGACCTTGCAATCAACAGTTGTGAGTATCCATATGTTTTGTGCATACCTATTGCTAACTGCACAGATATATAACATCCTACTTTGTTGACTGTTTCTTATAGATTTTCTATGAAGGTCAAAAATGGTGGTAGTCCAGATGATGGAGGAGAGACCCTAGAGATAACTGTTTATGAGTATTTCACTAAACATCGTAACATAGAACTTTCATCCTCAGTTTATATGCCATGTCTGGACGTTGGAAAACCAAAACGACCAAACTATCTGCCACTGGAGGTGTGCAGAGTTATTATTGTTTCTGTTTACACTATAGGACCCTAGTTCACTTGACCAGCTTCCAAGAGTCAACTTTTATTTTCTTTCCTTAATATTCAGCTGTGTTATTTGGTCTCCCTTCAAAGATACACAAAGGCATTATCATCGGTCCAGAGGGCATCTTTAGTTGAAAAATCAAGGCAGAAGCCTCGTGAAAGAATTAAAGTTATAACAGATGTAAGTTATTGCAGTCTTGATGGTTCTGATCCTTTTAATTTACGCCTCTGTACCTTACTGGAATTTTGGCAGGCTGTGAGGGACTACAGCTATGACGATGATCCCTTTCTTGTTGCTTGTGGAATCTCAATAGAAAAGCAGCTGATTCAAATTAACGGCAGGGTCCTTGAAGCCCCAAAGGTAGCATCTGCACATTCTTGAATGATAGCGTCCATTAAAATTTTGAATTTCTTTTCTGACTTTACTTTATTATCCTGTAATCTCTAGTTGAAGGTTGGTAACGGCGAAGAGGTCACTCCCTGCGACGGCAGGTGGAATTTTAAGAACAAGGTGCATTTAACCACATAATATTACCTTGTAGTATCCTTATAAAACAAATTTCCTTATAGTTTAGGGTGTCAACTGCGAATATAATGAGACGTGACAATCATCTGTGGTTGTCCTCTATAATTTTGTTACTACCTGGGGATCAACCTTTTGAGAACTTGACTATGAAGGAAAGGATGAACGGTGGATATGAATTTGTCCCCATTATTCTCGATCTGCGGATAATCTTTTTGGGAAATTGAAGAAGGTTTCTATTGTTACACGTTACCTACTGTAGTGAAAATATTATAATGTTTACTGCAGTTTTTTGGTTGACCGCAAATTCCACTCTCTCTCTACCATTTTTACTTGTAGCATCTTTTCAACCCTGCACGAATTGAACGCTGGGCAGTGGTCAACTTCTCTGCCAGTTGTGATACAAGTCACCTTTCAAGGGAGCTTATTAGTTGCGGAAGGAGCAAAGGCATTGTATGTAGTGTCACATTTATATCTTTCATCGTGTGCTTTGTTGCTGTGTATTCTGGGCTCAAATACTTTCTTTTCCTGTCTATCAGCATTTTGAGCGCCCACATACGCTCATTGAGGAAGATCCCCAGTATAGGCGAGCTGGGGCTGTAGTTCGAGTAGAACAGATGTTTGAAGAGATAATAGCTAGACTGCCTGGCCATCCTGATTTCCTCCTCTGTGTCTTGCCAGAGCGGAAAAACTCAGAGTTATATGGTAATGTGCTATGTTAGTCCTGCTCACGCTGCTTTCAATGTCCTATACTAATTTATACATTTAATAATGTCAAGGACCTTGGAAGAAAAAAAGTTTGACTGACTTGGGAATTGTTACTCAATGTATCTCTCCGTTAAAGATCACTGATCGATATCTAACAAATGTGCTTCTCAAAATAAATGCAAAGGTAATCTTCTGAATCTGCGATCAACAGTTTGGATATTTTAAACTTTCAGTTATTCTGAGTTGGGATAGTTTTTTCTTTTGCTTGTGCTTAAAAGCTTGGAGGGACCAATTCATTGTTGGCTATGGAACATACCTCTCATCTACCGCTTATTAAGGACACTCCAACAATGATCCTGGGAATGGA